TGCACAAGAATTAATATGGGACACCAAATGCTTGTGAAAGCACATGCCTCACTTGCTTTCTTACATAAGCTCACACTTTGTTTTTCCTTTGCTCCAGATCCATTTGCATGCATCCCCTTGGGATTGTTGAATCCAAGAGTTCTGACTACTTCCTTACCCCCATACATCTTCCCTTTCATCTAGTATCCCAGGTTCTCACAGGCACCAAAACCATTACCAGATGATTATACATGTCATCGTTTCAAAATAACTTACTGTTTTTTTAGGTTAAGTGTGTGAAAATACTCACGTTTGTCTTTCATTACTTGGGGGTTTTGCTACTGTGTATGCTTGTTGTTTACAAAGGTATGCTGCTTGTGCCTCAGTGCTTTGCAATATTGGAAATAAATAACTCATCTGGAATCAGGTCATATTCACCTTTCTTCAAATAATTCAGACATTATCCTTGCAGGCTCCAGCCAGGAAACAAAAAAATCCATGGGACTAACATTGTGCCTGTCCTTAGCACTGCCTGTGTTCTGTGTGTAAGACCATTTCCCTGGATGAGAAACAACTGAATTTGCCTCTGTGACTGTGTTTTGACAGTGGTGACATTCTGTTTACCCTTCAGAGAACCCTTTCTGCATGCAAACCACATGCTGCTTTCCCCAGTGGCAGACATAGTAAATGTTAAGTGTGGTGACAATTCCACAAATATACATTAGTCTTACAGAATTTGCTAACTTTCTGATAAAATGTTTATCACCTATTTGAACATGACAGGAAGCTTGCGCAGTATGTGGGAGCTAACCACAGCATCAGCAATGGCTGATCAAGTGTCAAGATGGCTCATCTCCTCCTTCCCCACCACCATCATCATCATCATCTCACAGCCATGAGTGAACTGGAGTGAAGGCTTTTTAATTACACATACCTTTGTACACTTAATACAACTTTCCATAGAAAGTCGTGAAGTTGACATTCTTTACATTGACTTCAAGCTCTAGTCTCAAAGATTAAACATTATATGACAAAAACTATATTTTTTTTTTTCAGGAACAAAACAATTAAAAATCTTTCCCGAGATCAGTCCTCTCATATAGCAACTGTGACCCATAGTTGAGCAAACACCTCGGTGCTTAGATCTCTCGAGATTAAAGGCTAAGGTGGTCATTTGGGCAGCATTTCACAAGGAAACGCCATGGCGAATTCATGTTCAAACAGAATGCTAGAGCAAGATTCTGGCATATGTTGAAGTCAGGCAGATCTAAGACTCAGAGTCATCTCTGACCCTGTTTCTGGAAACGTCTTTATGAAATCTCTTAAGGCCTGTTTCATCAGTAGCACATGGGGGAGAGGAATGCCACAGGCCTAGTGAGTTTATGTAGCAAAGCTAGAAACTATGCCCAGAATATCCCTTGCTTCATTTCTCCTTGAGAATGATGCAAATATATCACTGTAGCAGTACATTTTACTTATTGACCCAAGTAGGATGGGCCAATGTGACATGAAAGTTGATGTGAAATGATTTACCATCTTTAGAAACCAGGTCAAATCGCTATTTTTCTAGCTAGAGCAAATAGCCCAAGAAATTTTGTGATTTAAACATAAAGTTACTTTCAATACAAAGCCAGAAAAATAGGTCTTCTAATTAAGTACATTTTGTATGATTAGTGTGTGGGTGAATACGGCTATGGCTCATGGATTTTGCTGGAAATCTCATTAAAACAGGACTTTCTGTGTCATAGGGCAGGATTACATTATTAAAGATCCTTTATACAAACATTACAGGGGTGCTCATTATTTAGGAAAAAAGAAAACTTCTATCTAGACAGAGTACATAGCCTCAAGCTTGCTGTGTCTTGTGAAAATGTTGTTCCTGGGTTCCACCCTCTATGACAAGGTTCAAAACTATTAAAGAATTTCATATCCTGCCTCTGTACCTGGAATGAATCAGACAAAAGTCCATCCTCACATGGTTTTGGAGTCTTCTTCCATAGTTTCCATGTCAGCAGATTTCACTGAGGTTAATCACATGATGATCTTCCAAGTCAACATCATCACAGATGATCTAAAGTTGACATGGAAGTATTATTTCTTCCTTGCCCTTGTGGTGTGGTGAGTTTATCAGTCATGGTCTCTGGAGTTCAGCCATATAACCCTGAGCCACCACTAAACTCCACACTTGGATTTCGGCATCTATTAACACCACTAGCTTTGATGATAGTTCATGTACAAAGCAACAGAGCCTGGCATTCTTTTTTTTTTCTTATTTATTTATTTATTTATTTATTTATTTATTTATTTATTTATTTATTTATTTACTTATTTATTTCACAGCCTGACTGCAGTTTCCCCTCCCACTCACTCTCCACTCCTCCCCTCTGCCCTTCTATCTACCCCTCTTCCATAATCACTCAGCAAGGGACAGGCTTCCCACGGGCTTCAGCAAAGCATGGCATATAAAGCTGCCGCAAGACCAAGCACCTCTCTGTATTCAGGCTGGACAAAGGCAATCCAGCATGAGAACTGGTTCCCAAAAGCCAGTCAAAGTGCTTCTGCTTTCATTGCCAGGAGTTCAAAATATAGGGCGATCCACACAGTGGTCACCTATATGCAGAGGGCTTAGGTCTGTTCCATGCAGGCTCCCTGGTTGTTGTTTCAGACTCTGTGAGTTCTCATGAGCCGAGCCTGGCGTACTTTAAAGTTCTCCCTGAGTGAAGTGCCATCATTTGGATTAAATATTTAGAATGAAACTTGGTGCCTGAATTCTAATCAATAATATGTCTTTCCCTCTAAGGTTCTGAAAAAATTTCTAATAGAAATCCAAAATAAAGAAAAAGAAGAGAACACCTGGTTTGGTACTAATAACCATGGATTAGAAAGTGAACTGGACCCTCAGATCATAGCAAGGTTTCTAGACTAATTTGCACCTGCAGATCTAGTCAGAGACAGCAGCTGGGAAACCTTGGGAGTTGATTGCTTCCGGATCTCTTATGTTGGAATAGGAACAGAAGGAAGACTGTCCCAGGATTGAAGGCAGGTCTGAATAAATGCTGACTTGATTTTATGCATGTGCACATGTTGTGTTGTTTTTCCTGACCTGCTGCGCCAATACTTAAACAGCTCGTATTCCTCACTGAATGACAGAATACATCTCCTGCTGATGATAATGGACAGAAGAGAGCAAGAGGAGCGGGGGTGAAAAAGGAACATGCTGTACTCCAGGACCAGTGTAGTGTACATGATTGGGCTTAATTTTGATGTGACTTTCTAATGCAATCTCATCATTCCTGTGTTCTGTCTGTACACTTGTCTCAACTGGTTTCCTTGTCTTCCTATGACAATGAGTAGGACAATATTTTAAATGGTAATTCAAGCTAGTGTGGGATGTAGAGTTACCTTATATATTTTTTTAATTTTTATTTTTATTTTGCAATACAATTCAGTTCTACATATCAGCCACAGATTCCCTTGTTCTCCCCCCAGCCCACCCCCCATTGCCACCTCCTCCAGGGCAAAGCTTCCCCCGCAGAATGAGGTCATTGGTAGACTCAATGGTAGAGATACAGCCCGAACTGACCTACTCTGGTGATGGGATGGCCAAACACCCTAATTGTCGTGCTAGAAACCCCATCCAACTACTGAGGGATCTGGATGCAGAGATCCATGGCTAGGCCCCGGGGGGAGCTCTGGGAGTCCAATTAGTGAGAAAGAGGAGGGTTTATATGAGCGAGAATTGTTGAGACCAAGGTTGGATAAAGCACAGGGACAAATAGCCAAATGAATGGAAACACATGAACTATGAACCAATGGCTGAGGAGTCCCCAACTGGATCAGGCCCTCTGAATGGGTGAGACAGTTGATTGACTTGATCTGTTTGGGAGGCATCCAGGCAGTGGGACCGGGTCCTGTGCTCATTGCATGAGTTGGCTGTTTGAAACCTGGGACCTATGCAGGATCGCTTGGCTTGGCCTGCCTGGGAGGAGGGGGATTACCTTATATTTTTAAGCCTATTTTCTTCTATGGGGAAATTATTCTGCTAATGGTTTAGTCACATTTCTTACCAAAAAAACAGTGTCTGTAAGATCTGAGGACATGTGAAAAACATGTGAAGAGTTTCCCATGAAAAAACAGAAGCCCCAATAATGTGTTTTAAAGTTCTCTGTTTAGAGGAGATGGAAACGGAGGCGACGTTTACTCTATTTCCACAGCATCAGAATGTGACATCAAAATTCCAGACAGCACAATCATCATAGAAACAATGAACTCATTTTGGTGTGCTTTATTTTGCTATGAGTTTCCAACACATCTAGAGTTCTGAAATGGTGGATTTTCTAAATCCATCCTTGGCATGTGTCTTCCATATTTGAGTAAAATTACTATGGAATTTCATCATGGCCAAATTTCCTGAGAGACAAATTAGAATTTACCAATTTCCTTTGCTGAACATTTTACATCCTGCCAACACAAACTAAGATTCCTATTTGCTATATAGTCCATCTAAAAGAAAAGGACTGATACATTACAGGTTAATTACAGTCCATGATTAGTACAGAGAAACAAATTATATTGCTTTATTAAGCATTGCTGTTATTTACATTTTTCAAGAATACAATTTCCAAAAATAACAGTTAATGGTGTAGATTGAGTTCCATTTATTTTTCACATAATGTTTTAATATTACAAGAATAAAAATAGCATAGAATATTTCCTAACCATGATAATCAGCCTGGCCAATGATGAAATGCATGTAGCATGATAATCTAGCTATCTTTTATTTCTTTTACACTGAGAGAAGAGTTCTTAAAATTAACAAAGTTTTGAATCTTAAGTCTCCTAAACATTGACAGCGTTAGTTCACTTTTTTCAGTTCTTAGGTGAAGATATCAATACTTTTTAATGCATATTTTCCCATACTCTGGGTACAACCTAAAATAAGGACAGATAGCTATTCTTCTGATATATGTATACCTATTTAAACAGACTAGCTGGGTGTCAAGACCCAGCTTGTACTCCAGCATTGTGGGTGACAGAGGAGCTAAAGCCTGGAGATAGTGGTCTACTTGGTTTTAACTCAGCTGCAGAGCAATTTAGCTGAGTGAAGACCAGCATCCAGCAGCTCATGTCCTAAAGGATGTAAGGGACTTGAAATACTGTCTCAGCTTACTAATCAACATCTCTCTGAAGTGGTCTCCCATGAGAAAGTAGAAGATGGGGTTGATGGCACTGTTTAGAAAGGCCAGAGGCCGGGTCACGATGTACAAGGTTTTGATGACTTCCTGTGAACATCCCTGTGGCCAGCTGTCCAGGCGTGAGGCGATCCTCACATTGCGCATGATATGGTAGGGTGTGAAGAGTACAGAGAAGACCACCACTGCCAGGACTACCAGGCGCAGAGGCTTGTCCAGCGGCAGGGCAGTTACCTGCTGCCTACTCCTCATTCTTAGGAAGACTACCATCTTGTAATAGAAGAAGCACATCACAGAGAGAGGAAGGAGGAAGCCTAGCAAAGTCAGGCACAGGCTGTAAATGAGGTTGTATTTAGGGTTTCCAGAACTTGCGTAGTCTTTGCAGATGGAGTCTTTGTCTGTTGGGTCAGAATTTATGAAAGGGAGTATGGGTAGGACTTCTAAGGTCACTAAGACCCAGACAGCTAAAGAGATTAGAACGGCAAACTCCTTCTTTTGCAGAACGTGTTCTCGGAAAGGATACTTCATGAGCAGGTATCGATCGATGCTGATGAAAGTGAGGAAGAGGATGCTGGTGTAGAGGTTGGCATGAAGCAAGTATCGGTTGCCTATGCAGAGAACATCTCCATAGATCCAGGTCTCATTGGCATAACTCCTTATCAGCACCGGAAGGGTGCACAGGAAAGCAAAGTCAGAGATGGAAAGGTTAAAGAGATAGATGTTGCTGCTGTTCCAGTTCTTCAGACAGAAGAGGTACCCGAACACCACGGTGATATTCCCAAACATCCCGAAAATGAACTCCATCCCGTAAAATGTGGATAGGTAGTACTTTTTCAGGATATTCTCTGTAGCCAGCCAGTTTTGACAAGATGAATTCTGTGACTAAAGCAGAAAGGAAATACAAGATCAAACACTAGACTGTGACCAAGGACAAATGGTAGAACACTAATTGAAAACCTAACACTTAACTGTGGAGAGTTGGTGAAGAATACATACATTAGTCATGCATGATGGGGCATGCCTTTAACACCAGGGCTGGGAAGAAGAGGCAAGCAGATCTCTGTGAGTTCCAGGACAACCTAGTCTACAAAGTGAGTTTCAGACAAACCAGGGCTATGAAGTGAGACCCTGTCTCAAAAAAAAAAAAAAAAAAAAAAAAAAAAGCACATGTTCGTACACATTAGTACACTGTATGCAATCACAAATACTATATGTGTATGCAACTATATTATTTCAACAAGGCTTCATTGAACATGTTCAAACTGTATCCTTATCGCTGGGTGTGATAGCAAAGAGTAGAGCAGGGTGGCTAATGTGAGTCAATAGATGATTTCCTGGGAAAAATATACTGGATGCTGTATTATAGATATGAACAAAAATGAGTACTAATTAAAATGTTAGAAGACAAAAACTGACTCCTGGAATTTGTTCTTTGACCTCCACACCTGTGCCTGCTCATATACACATGTGCATGCTCATGCATGAGCATACACACACACACACACAAACACACACACACACACACACACACACACACACGTAAATACATACATAAATAATAAGTATAATAAAAATGTGAGCAAGTTTTGGGATGGAGTGCAGCTTGATGTCTGGGAAATAAGAACTAGATCTCTACCAGAAGAAGAGTTGTTTCCAGACACAGGAAGAACACGTGCCAGAGCTCAGCACAGAAACAAAAAGAGGGCTTAATAAAAAGGTAAAAGAAAGTGATTAATTAAGCAAGAAGATGACTCTAACTCACCTTTGTATCTTCAGGGCCAGACACAGATCTCTACAAATTTTGCTGAGTTAAACTGAATTGAACTCTAACCCAGGAAATGGAGTAGGGCTGTTGGATACAGTTGTCTTTTTGAATAGCTTTTACCTAGTTGTATATAGTAAACATTTTTTTCTCATTTTATTAAACTTAGAACATATTACTCCACTTTAAAATACAGTTTCTTCAGATTTAAAACAAGATACTGGAAACCTAGAAATAACAATGGTCACCATGTCTTGAAAGCTAAGAGGGCAGCAGGCATTGGGCTGAACACTTTCTAAGGACTGCTTCATTTAATACAAGTATGAAGTTGGGACTGGTAGTAGAATCATTTGAGGAAGGATTTCATTGAAGTGTAGAAACTTCAGTATCATGCTATTTGAGTCAATTCCTGTGGCTATCGCAATACATCTTGTAGTGGGCAATTTAGCAACACTAGAACTATTTTACTTCTTTGCACAGTTAGGGAAGTACAAGAAGAAAGTGCCAGCAGATTCAGTGTCACGCTATTCTCTTAGCAATGACATAAGGGCATGGCAGCTCCCTTCATCCTCCGTTACAAAGGCACTATCCAAATTATGAGAGCAAAACCCTTTGCTTTCACAGAAGTTCTGCCATCCCGTACGATTAGGTCCCAGCTTGTGGATTTTGAGAGCACAACACTCAGACTGAGCCCTCGCTGAGGCCGCGTTCCTAACTTTTCTAGTTTCATTTCTCTTGCTGAGACAAAATGCCCTGACAAAAAAGTAGCTTAGGGAGAGTTTATTTAAGCTCACAGTTTCCGTTTCTAGTCCATGACAGCATGGAAAACAACTAGTGCATCACATACACAGTCAAGAGTAGAGCGAAATCAATGTGTGTGTGTTCATTCCCTTGCTTGCTTTACTCAGCTGGATTTCTCCACATTTTTAGGAAATGGTACTATCTACAGTGGGCTGCATTTCCAACATCACTTATTAAGACAGTCACTCACAGGCCAACTCAATGTAGACAGTCTCTCATTGAGAACCTATGTCCAGGTAATTCTAGGTCATGTCACCTTGACCTTTAAACTCAGCAACACACCAACTAATAAAACATTGTAGTAAGACCCTGTAAATACTGATCCAAACCTCCAATATTCTGATAAATTCTCAATCTCTAGCAATGAGGCTACATTATAGTTGGAATATTTCAAGGACTTCAGTAATCTGGAAATATGTTGATTTAAAAAAATTAGATCCCAATTATTTCTAATAGAGAAAACAAGGTTGAAAACAAAATTTTCTAAAAATTTCCTGTTAAGCAGGTTTCAGAGTATTAGTTAGAGCCAAATAATTATTTCATTGTAAGTACAAATAACCTGACCTATTTTCATATGAAGCTTTTATACACTCAGTAGAGTTTTCTATGAGGAAGATATGTATAAAATATATCTACTTTTGGCAAATTCAAATTTTATTCAAGTTTATTGCTGGTAATTTGGCAGTGTTTTATTTATGAAAACACATCATAAATTTGTAGATGACATCAGTATTTTATCGTTACTCTTGTGAGGTGTGTGTGTGTGTGTGTGTGTGTGTGTGTGTGTGTGTGTGTTGTGTATGTGTATAAGTGCCTTTGTGTTCACATATGTATTTGTACATGTGATGGCCAGAGGTTAGCATATATTTCCTCACGCAATCCCTGATTTGTTGAGACAGGCTTTCTCTCTGAACCGGGAGCTCACCATTCAGCTAGAACAATTGTTCAGAAAGCATCAGGGATCCTCCTGTCTCTGCCTCTCCAGCCTTGGGGTTTTCCATGACCCACCTCTCTTTTTAACATGGGCACTGGGCAACCACCTCAGGCCTTCATGCTGAGCCAGTTCCCATAAACACCGTTGGAGAACCAAGTATTGTGTTTTCACTTTCAATTCCTCTGTAGATGATAGTAGAGTTCATTACGTCTCTAATTTCATATCTTTCTGCTTTCAGACGTCTTTCCAGGTACTCCACCCTGCTCACCACAACCATCAGACAGCTGTCTTTGCTGCTTAGCTCACCAAGATGGAGAGTCTTCTTCTTTGGCTCTGGAGCCACCCATTCTCAGGTCCACCTGCTCTTTGGATCACTCCTTTTCTCCAGGATGTTTCAGACTTTTTCCACACACTGGATGTCACATCCCCAATGTTCCAGGTTTATTTCTAGATCCATCCGTCTGTATCTTGCCTACCAGCACTTAAACACCCTTGTCTATCAATCTGAAAATTTTGTCCCAGGTTTAAAGACTTTCCCTGCATCCCAGGTTGCCCTCCTCTTCAGGCTTGGTTTCTGGGGAAATGTCTCACCAAGGGCTTTGTCATCTGGACCCCATTTTCTGTCTAGTACTCCCTAATCTGGTTTGTGACTCTGAGTTCTTCAAACAGCCACCACATTTACCAATCCAGTGGTCAGTTTTTGCCAGTTGATTTATTAGCCTGCAGTAAGATTGTTAGGAATACACCCTTCATTTGCCTTTTGTGAAAAGGCAGAATCCTGGCTTTCTTTTCCTCTTCCTGGGTGCTTTCTGCATCTTTTGTGGCTCAAGAGTGAGATACTGATGTCCTGTCTCAGTTCTGACCTCCCTTCTCTCCACTCGTCTTGGGTGATGTTATTCATGTTCAAGCTTTATTGACTATTTATCTACAACAACTCCCACACTTGTAACCTATCTCAGATCTGTCTAATGAATTCTAGTAGTTTATTCTATTGCTGTGGATTCGTTTCTTACAGGCATCTCTGACTTCAGAAATCCTATCTTGTTAGCCAATCTTGAAGCACCTTTACCAGTAAAATATTTTTTCCATTTATCCAAATGCTTACTACAGAAATCCTTACAGTCAGCCGCAATTTAATCTCCATCAAGAACAAACTACCAAGCCTTGTTGACTTTAATTTCTATGTATTTCTCAAATCTGTCACTGTTGCTCACTATATATAATCCCATCAGTCTGCGGAAGAGAGCAGTTGTCATATTTTCCTGCTGTACCCTCATGCCTTTTCTGGCTCTTGTTCATTTCAGCTTTTCCACAAATAGCCAGTCTTGAAAAATCTATAGCTCAAAAATCAAATCACATTGAGATCCTGTGTTAAAATCCTTCCAAGGACTGAAGTCCGGATTCTTACAGTCTGCCCACCGCCCCCGCAGTCACTTCAGCTCACCCGCTCTGTTCTAGCTCTGCCCTCCTCCTGCCCTCTGACTGCACAAAGCAGGCCCACTGCCCTGGCCCCGCCTGCATCTCTTCACTGCTCTTTCCCGCTCATGCCCACATATTTTATCTGTACTTCTTTCAGATGCCAGTTCAAAGATGCTTTCCCTGAGTCGGCTGTCTGTCCACCAAATCTAAATGAACTAGGTGCCCTCACTGCATGCTTTCCTTACCCATTAAATTTTGTCTTACCTGTTTTTACAAAGTTGTTTTGTTCATTGCTTATCTTCTACATCTGCACAGTGGCTAATAGATAGTATGTGGTCTGGAATTGCATGCTGAATAGAGAGGGCCGGAACCTGACTGCTTATAAAGCAATTTCATAAATACTTCCTCCAAGGCTAGAGAAATAGTAAATCCACAAAATGAGATCTACCAATCTACTTCACCATAAAAGCTTACCCTGTATATAATAGGACACACATAATATATATATTATATTTATATATATATAAAATCAGTCACTATGGTAGTGAGACCTCTGATTTATAAACATATTTGTATAAAGCAAACTTTAATATGTAACTTCAAGAATTGGTTTAAGGATTTAAGACATTTACATAGAGTTTAATCTGAAATTGCTAAACATGTAGAATTCTAAAAAGATATATACCAAAATACTAATGGCTCCAGAATTAGCGGTAAGATTCCAGATCACTTTTATTGTGTTATTTCTCCTTTGATTTATCTTTGTGTTCTATCTGTCTGTCTGTCCATACTTATTTAGTTTTTAAATACACCAAAGTATGCATATAGTTATTAACACAAAACTTTTAAATTACAAAAAATTAAAAAATGGACCCTGTACATCAGTCCAGTCAGATAAGAATAGCTTCCACCCCTCATTAAAGAAGTTCCTTTTTTCCCAGATGGAGACTATTGCAGATATCCACAACTGGTAAACCTAGAGAATAAGTAACCGTAGGTTATCCAGCCCCAGTCAGTACATCTACAACCTCTAAACCTAAGGCTCAGACAACATTGTGGAATGGGGGCAGAATGACTTAAAAGGTAGAGGAACAGGTGCCTCCTGTGAAATAGTGTCTTCTAGACATGGCAGGGAAGTTGCACGCAGAAAATCTCAACAAAATGCCTGCCTAAACAAGACTTACATTATGACAACACCTGTTGAGATGCCAGTATGAATGGGAGAGATTTTAGAAGAAGCCACCCTTAGATGAAGAGTTAATGGCAATCCACAACTGTTGGGAGAGGGGAAAATTAGTTTTCTCTAGGGATGAGCCTCCTGGTGTTATTGAATCCCAAGTGATCACCTCTAAGCATGTGTATGTACAATCAACACTAGATGGACTTAATGATGGGTTATGTATACATATACATATACATCTATCTATGTATCTATATTTGTATGTATCTATTCACTAAATATATGTCTTTCCGTGTGTATATATGTGTGTCTAACTAAAAACTACAGAAGAATTTGAGGAAAGGAAGAACACAAGAGAAGTTGGATGGGGGCGAGACAGAGGGGGAAATGATGAAACTGTAGTACTTATGGGTGAAATTTTCAAAAATTAAAAAACAGCAAAAAAAAAGGAGGGATATGGACTTTTAAACATGCATGGCTCGTTAGACAATGAATGTTTCTCACTGTTAGACTCAAATCTGCTGCAGCTTTCAATGCCATGAGTCTGGAAGCTTTTTCCTCCTTGCCTTCTAGAACATTGCAATCTCTTTCTCCCTTTTCTTCATTTGCCAGCTCTTTTGTAGCTAATCCTTACTTGTCTAGGCTTTAATGTTGAAGTTCTTCAAGACTCAGTTTGTGATCATTATGTCATGTAGGAAATACTGATTTGCTGGTGCATGCATTAAATGAAAATTAAGACATTAGAAAGTTTCCTTGAGATAAGAAACTCATTTGTTTCATTTTAAATTTCCTCTTCCTCTTTCTCTGATTATACCGGATCCCATTTAAGCTGAGGAAGTGCCATGGGTTTATGTAATTTATATGGATCACAAAATGGAATGGAAAATATATCCACAAAGACATGTGCAACTCGATGCCCAGCTGCCAGTAGCTACCAATCATCAAGTCAGGGGACAAGTGGAAGTGATAGAGAATTCTGTTTTCCAGTGATCTTGAAAGTCTGAAGACTGATGGTTTAGTAAAAACAGAGACTACCAGGGCCAGTTAAGGAAAATAAATGGCTAAATTAATTGATTACTTTTATTTATTAATCTGTACCTTTTTGTCTTGCTTCTCACAGAGTGAATCTTGCTTTAAGAACAAACACCCAGTACTACCTCCACAACTTTCAAAGTGTCTATATTCAGGTTGACTGTGTGGCTTTGGATAAACAGTTGGTATGCTCTTCCCTGAGTAACACTATTGCTCCCACTCTGGACATTCCTTAGTTGACTGTAGTTCTTTTTTGGGTTGAGAACTCGTGGTCTTTCCCTATCCACTTCTGCATGTCTATTGTCTTTGTTCAGCCCAGTGTTGGCAGTCATGTTGGTGAGACTTTGTGGGTTCAGCTTCTGCCATTACTAGGAGACACAGTCTCACGGGAAACTCTCTGCTCTTATAATCTTACAGTCTACCACAACAATGCCCCCTCTTCCACAATAAGCCCCAAGTCTTTGTTTTGGAAGTTGTTTTGTAAATAATGTTATATAGACTGAATAGGTCGTATTTTGGAATATACATTTTCATGTATGCATGTGACAACAATTAATGAAGAAATAGGCCATGAATTTGAAAGAGAGCAAGGAAGGGTATAGAGGAAGGTTTTGAGAGAGGAAAGGGAAGGGGAAAATAATGTAATTATAATATAATCTCTAAAGTACAAGAAATAATTAAACAAACAAAAACAAAAGTGTGTGGATAAAGTACATATTAATTGCATAATACAGTGTGGATACAAATAGCAAAACATCAGAAAAAATTTAAACCAATTAATGGAAACAATAATAGGTCCAGCCTATATTGTTTGCTCCCAAAGTCACTGCTGTATACTCCATGGACTTTTACTACCAGCGGCTCTCAATAACCAATCAGTCCTAATATTTTTATACTTTAATATTACTGAAATTTTATTTGTTAAAATGCAGTTCTACTTTTCAAGATGTCTTATAAGCTATTTCTTTAATATAAATGTTTCAATTAGTCATTCTTATAGCCCTTTCCACATTCATAATATTAACAGGTTAGGGTTTTCTTGAGATAGGCTATCCAATATTTGTAGGCTGATTCAACTTCATGAGGACACACTATTTTGAGAATAATGTATTCCAAATTCAGTAATGTGTATATTGGAGTGTGTTTTTGTTATGACGTAATTATACAAATTAGAGAATCAAAGTGTGTTCGTTTAAGCAAAACTCCCAATACAAGGGGCATTTCTCAAGGAATATTACTATCCTCTCACTTTCTGGGAGCCATCCTGTTTATAGGCAATGGACATGCTGACTAGCAGACTAGTATGCTGTTACTTATTCGAGTGAACCAATAACAGAACATGTTCTTTAAAAAGAACATTGATAACTAAAGTGAAATCATTAGTTCTTAGCCCACAAATACCAAGTCTGTTAGAATTAACAAGCTACAAGTAAGCTGAATGCACTCGCAGGGGACAATTAGTATTCATTTTTAATTTGAACTGATGGAAAATTCACTATAATCAGTTCTCCTAAATGTAAAAATAATGTATGCTCTTTACCAGAAATTTAGAAAATTGACATTAATAAAAATCCCCTCTATTCTAATAAAAAGTTTTTCTATATCCTTGACCATTATAGAGAGCCTAACAGAAATTAAAATTTTAACTGCCACTAGAAAGTTACATAGTAATAAAGATATTTTAACAAGTTACTTTCATTATTAAACAATTTAAATGAAACTGTATTTGCATGTATAAAAATATAAGCATTTGGTACTCATGAATTACTTCATTTTTCTATATTCCACAAATGACACCGAAATACTAAAAATTATAGTATGTATCAAGTTACATCTTTCATTAAATTGTTAAAGAATAGCTTATACAGTTTGAAAAGTTCTGGTGAGTAGAATAGCAATCACTTCTTCAATTTTTGACTTTAGAAAATCTTATTCTTGAATACACTCATTTTGCTACATGTAAATACAAAATTTAAAGTTTGCAATGATTTAAAATTCACCTTATTATATTTTTCTTTAAATTTACCTGGTAAGTTATTTTTCACGGTGCAAGATAGTTCCCCTCTTCTGTAAATACTTTTATTTATTTAAATCATTCTAATTATTTTTGCTGAGGCATTATCAAATACAGTGGACCTTTTAAAGTAAAGTAAACTTAGTATTTAACCACCAAATCAGTGCATTTAGTGTGAGCCATTGGAAGCAGATGTGAAAGTCAGATGTGACTGCATTGCCCTTTGCTGCTTCACATCTACTTAAGAAGATTTCCCTGAGCACCATTCAGCTCACAAGCCACTTTCAAAAGAAACCCTCCCCACAAAGCCTGGCCTTCCTTAGTATGTCCAGGAGGCATGGGCTATAGTGTCCCTTACCATTCTGCTGACAGCCTCTCTCTTGACAGAAACTCTGCCAGGAACTGGAGACAGCTTCTGACCCAGTGCTGTGTCGCTGGACACGGCCAGTGCAGTCTGATTTGCATATCATGCAGCCAAGATTAATAATTCAAAAGGCAGGGATAATTTATTCAGATAAATCTACAAGTCATGCAGAGGAGCTCTTGAAGAGTGAAGACACGCAACAGATGACTCATTTCGCAGGAAACACTTTTAACAGAGACATCTTGAGAACGCTCTAATAGAAATTATTGTATGCACTTCCAAAACAGCAAAGAAGCATTCTTTCTTTCCACGTGTGTGCACACATTTAGATAATAAGGAATAGCAAACACTTTATGTTTAATATATAGTTGGAGTCACTTTTTTCCTTGCTTTTCACATTTTTGGTGACGTCTGTATTAAGCATACAATAACTAAACTGCTTCGTAGAAATCCTGAGGGAACTATAACATGAACCCTTGGAAGCCAGTCTGAACATGCACCCAATCAATGTGCTGTTGAAAGACTGCTAGAACTTTTGATTGTATCCATTTTATTTCCGATGCTTAAATTCAGGAGACATAAAAAAGTACATCAAATGGCTAGGGATTAAGGAAAGAGGCACTATTTAAAATGACAATCTCAAGAGATGGCAGTAGACGCATCCCAGTCGGTGCCCTGAATAGGCACCTGGAAGAGCCGACCAACCATTTCAGACAGGAAACACACCTGGCCTTTTCTCAGGGCTACATCAGTTTTATATTCAAGTAAACACCTGGTTGGCTTGACCTGAATCATAGGGATTATACTGAGGATCATGCTAGGGTCTGAGAAATAATCACAGGCATTTTCTACTTACAGAGGGAAAAGGCTAGAGATTACTTTTGAGTATCATTTTCAGAAAGAGAATGTGTTGGAGTAGCCAGTCAGGCTGGTTCATTTCAGACATCTCTTAGGCAGACTCCTCCAAGCTGAAAAGGTACAAGAGAGTATTTCATAAATTTTGACTGCCGTTATGAGGGGGGCAAGGTGATTCCCCCTTTGTGGGTGCCTGGAGTTCCCCAAAGCTTCCTGTTTCTTTGCCCTACATCCTGATAGTCAAAAAAAAAGTGGTTTGTACTTCTCTTTTTTTTCCAAGAGGAGGGACTGCAACCTGATACCTTTGCTGTCCTGCCCAGTGCGGCATTGCCTCAGGATCCCTCTGCTGACAACCAGGCAGACATAATAAACAGACTGAACACTGCTCTTCTTTTCCTACCATGCTGCCTTACTCAGAGTTACAGAGCACAGGTACAGAGAGCAGACTAAGAGTCTGTCCAGTCAGGACAGGATTATTGTCATGCTGCTGGGCCACCTCCCAGGTCCAGCACACAGACTTTGCACTCTTGATTCCACACAGTGTGGTCACATACTTGTTCTAAATTTTTATTAATTTTATAACAAGGGGCCAAATATTTCCCTTTGTACTAGATCTGCAAATTCTGCCCAGGAGAGCACACGTCTCTCAGGAATATAATATTTCAGAGGGAAAAACTTTGGGGTTTTGCTTTCTTTGTTTATAGAAACAAGGTCACACATTGAAGCTCACTACCTATTCATTTTTAGTTTTCCTGTCTGTAAAGTAGGGACACTTGTGACAATCCTAGAAAGCATGTTTGTCTACATAGAAGTGTATATATTAATTATACTGTAGATTGGAGATTGGCTTAGCCCTGTTGACCAATACAGTGTGTGATAGTTGCTTGCTAAAGATTAATTATTACAGAAATTTTTGATAAATCAAACTTCCTTCTGAATGGTAACTTTGATTTAATGCTGTTGGTTTTGGCACAGGCATGCTAATTTTAAACGTTCTTCTAAGAACCAGCAAGGGAAGAAGATCACTGAATCCTTGTCCTGATTTTGCATTTTACTGGCTGTGTGAGCTGTGAAACAAACTTGCCTAAGCTGATTTCCTTGTTCAGAAGGGGCAGGGACTCCATTCCATAAAGCTCCCTATGTTCACAGTAGAGGAAAATAAAGCTTGAAAGTCCAGTAAGCATGCACCAGAAGTCCACAGGGGGAAAAAATCAAATTCACTCAGCAGGGAATTCAAGAGAAAAAAAAATTCAGAGGGAAGAGAGAAATCAAATGCCAGTTCCATCTAAGACAATGATTCCCAATGTGTCTTCTGTGGTCTTTAGGGCCACATACCAATTTTCTCCACCTACCAATTCCTTTATATTCACAAAAATGTGGTACAGAGCAAACTATGAATGCCCAAATTTTCAGCTGAAGAAACTGAGGCCCAACAAAACTTACATACATTGCCCATAACACACAGCTGACTAAGGACTGGGCCAGACCTTCTGGGCTTGTGTTTTCTCTTCAAACTGAGCATTAGGCCTTACTCTGGCTCTCATACAAAAGAAGAAACTGCTAGGTCAAAATGTAAAATTAGTGCTATTAAATACTTTTTACCATAAATATGGTAATTTTATGTGATTTTCTCTAATAAAATAAATTTTGAAGAATACTATTAAAGTTAGCAATTATTTACAAGATTTATTATTTATCAAATTTAAGAATTAGATTTTTCCATCTAAAACCCAGAGCATTTTACATAAACAAGAGTCAAAGATAAAATATTGAAGTGTTTATGTGATGGTCCTGTTAGCAACGCCTCTGGGCATGCTTACAAGATACATTCTTTCATTATAAAAACAGTCTGTATGGAAAAGCAGTTGGCCTAAGGGTCAAGCATTTTCACCGGATAACAAGCCAGGAAAATTATTCATGCCAAGAAAATTTCCCTAAATCCTTAAGGAGAAATATTCATAACAACCCCCAAGGGTCAAATGAACCTAAGAAGATGATGAACGCCTTCATTTAACAGTGGTTTTGTAGAGATCAGAGCAAAGGGAATACAGTAGAGGAGGGTATGTCTATATTCTTGCAGTTTTTAGACACCAACCCTG